ACAGCGGCCCTAGCGTTTGCACAAGCTTTTGAAACTTGAACACATCATTACATCATACCCAAAACAGGCTTTCTTCAATGTACACGCTTTTCATCTCGCTTTCCTGTGCGGATTTTGGGGGGCGCGAAAATATGCAAACGAACACACGAGGCAAAAGCGCTTGCTTAGATGTCCAGATCGACAAGCGAAGCGCCAAACAAATCTTCTTGAAGACTGCGCCGTCTGCTGTTCTTGCGACCCTTGGCCAAATTGGGAAGAAAGTCGCCCTTGATCAGCTCTGGCTTGACTTGGCTCGGCTTCTTGCGGTGCTGTCTCATCAGCATGGTCGTTGCGGCTCCCGTGCTGATGCCTGTAATATAAGGTGCCCACTTTTCGAACCAATTCGGAAAGCCGAGACGGATGGGTGTGCGTCGCTCCAGCCGAGTCTGCGCGGGACGATGGATGGGTCAGCCAGGTGCAGTGCGCAAAGACTTGCCCCCGCGCACACTCACTTTACCGGCCAATGCTCTTTGTTGCAGCATTTCCGACTCCCTCAAATGGTGCGCGTGATGATGCTCGTCAACGACGGCCGGGTACACTAATGATTCATCAGGATTGTGAGCAGTGGATGCAGCCACAGGTGGCGCCTGTTCCTTTGCTGGATGAGCCACTTCCTCTTTCTTCTCTGGCGAAGTGGCAGCCGGTGGCGTCGTCGTCGTCGGAACGACGTCTTTCGTCGGGTGCGATTGCTCCGTCTTCTTCTCTGGCAGCGGTGCATCCTTCGTCTTTGTCTCGGCTTGCTCCACCTTATCCGCGTGTACTGCTTCACTCGGCTTTGTGTTTTGAGTCGATGTGACGTCCTTCGGAGTAAGTTTGTCCGCACCGGGCAAGCTAGCTTGATCACGGTGCACTGCAAAGTCCTTGGCTTCTTTAGGATGTTTCGAAGAAAATCCACCAGTAAAGTACTTGACGCCTAACAGGCCGATTCCTAGACCCAGACCAGCCGCCATCAAGTTGCCAATGCCTCGAGGCTAGATATCGACCACCAAGTCACTGCGTCAAAGGAAGGCGGCACCGTGAAGTTCTCGGCCGTAACTGCACTCACCTCGAGATCAGTGCTGGACTGTACAGATCGGCGCTGCACCGGTGCTGGGTCCCTATTGAGCGACGTCGTGCCAGCACCTGTAGGCACGCTCGCCCCTTCGCCGGTTTGGGTCTGCGGTGTAGCTGGCGCGGGTGCAGGAGCTGTGGGCGTTGTTGGTCGGCCTAGAGGATATCTGCTATCATGCCACACCAGATAGGGCTTGTTAGGGTCCTCTTGCTGTGGATCCTCCTTTTTTGGATCCGGTTTGGGAGGCGCATCTTTGCCATCCGTCTTCGCAGGCTGCTCTTTACCATCCGTTTTTTTGGCATCTTCCTCCTTGCCCTTGTTGCGCCAGGCCTTGAACTTGTTGTGCCAATTTGTGATGAAGTGCGTTTTGCGCTGTGCATAATAGACTCCACCACCCACGCCCACGAAAGCCAGCGCGTTGCGCGTGTCTTTGAATTTCGAAGTCTGCCAGAAGGGAAGCTTGGCTTTGAGCAAGCGACGTTCGAGCTGAGACTGCGAATACAAGTGTGAGATGATGAGTTTCTGAAGAGCTATCACAATAGACACGCACACGCACTGATCTGACGACGCGATTTTGCCGTGTGTTGCTTGATTGTGAAAGCTGTAGGAACACCCTCGATACGTCAGCACGGTGCACGATGTTCTGTGCGGGTTGGCATCAACGACTCACGATTACCTGCCGAGTGATTGCAGTTGGAATGACGGAGAGTGTATCATGTTCAGTGCCGGTGCCTCTCCCAAACCCCTCGTCATCCCTACTCTTGGCCTGCGCATTTTCTTTGAAAGCGCGCGTCTCAGCATAGCTCCACCGTTGAAGTCCTGATGCGCCCGCATTGCTCAGTACGTGGGGCAGCGTCATCGCCCTCTCCCTCGCCTCTCTCACCCCTTTGCTTTGGACGATGACGCTGCCCGCGAATCCCTACTCGGACCTGCCGTTCAGCTTGTGTGCTGCGCCGTCAACAGGATGATGGGGAATCTTTTCGCCCTGCGTGGCGGTGGGCACGGTGGCGGGATGACCGTGACCTGCAAGGTGGCCAAAGAGGTAGCCAAGGCCCAACGCGCTCAACGCGTAGCCCCACTGTCTGAGCGAGCCGGGAATGGGGCTGTGCCAAGCTTTGCCGGCAGCCTTACCATGGCGCTTGAACAAGGCGCTAGGGTGACCACTGGCATCATTGTGAGCCGCACTGGACCACATACTTACTTGGTCAAGCTTGCCCTGCGTTGGGATAGGAGCTGCAGAAGTGGAAGCGGCGCTGTGCAAGGAATGATTGGGTGCGATGAGCTTGTGGGAGAGGTTGGCGCTGTAAAGATGAGCGTGCGGCACGACTTACGCGACTGCCGTATAGAGGATCAAGATGTTTGAGAATCGCATGGCGAAGGAGAGAGATGAGGCTGATGAATCAAAGAAGCACAAGACCAGCTTGTATGCTCGCGGGTTGTATTGTATTCTTGAAGAATGACAATGTCTGGAAGAAGAGGAGTCAGCTTGAACAACTACCCAAGAGCCAGCTTGGGGATGGGATCGGGCTGCGATAAAGGTAAAAGAGAAGG